CCTGTAACAAATCACTTAATCTTACAGCTGTTGTTGATGGTCTTCTATGCACATCTTAGTCTACTTTATCTCTAATTATGAAATACATATCATGATAAAAATGTTTCTTGTAAAGGTGATACGTCCTTGTTACATATCTACAGAACATAACATGAAAAAAAAAAAAAAAAAAAAAAAAAAACTTAAATTGAGAACATCATCATAATTGCCATATTTGTAAGCCAACGACTTTAAGTTGAATCCCTAGACTGTTGAAAGAAGAATCGAATTTTAGAATTATTTTATCTGAGACTAAGTAGCTTCAAAAAACTACACCTGTGTAAGCTCGTCTTACACTGCTGATCCCAAGCCTGAATAAAGGAGGCTTACGTCAAGTTGGCAGTTGGCACTAAAACTTTTGTCAAACCCTCATGAATATGGATCTTGACTTGTCTTTTCATGCGTATGCTAAGGCATTCTCCAGAATCGATGCATTGCACCCTAAACCGAATATAGTTTTAAGTGGGCAAGGGTTTGATAGGATGGTCCGTGTAAGTGACCTACCACCGCAACACCCAAGTGTGGTGTCAAATAGGAGGGTTCTCGCATCCTTCTAAATGGGGGTGGGTAAAGGCTAGTCCAAAAAACACGACTTCGTTTAGCCACATGGAACAAAGGAACATTAACAGAAAAAACCATGGAATTGGTAGACACTATGAAGAAGACGAGAGTTAATATTATATGCCTACAAGAAACTAAATAGAAGAGTAAAAAAGTTAAAGAAATTGATGGATACAAATTATGGTATAAGAGAGGCAAACAATAGAAATGGTGTAGTGAAAATAGTAGATAAGGATTTAAAAAATGAAATTGTAAATGTTAAAAGAATTAGGATAAAATAATTTTAATTAGACTTGTTTTAGGTGAGGAAATCATTAACATAATTAGTGCTTATGCACCTCAAGTGGGTTTAGAAAAAAACATTAAAAGACAATTTTGTAAAAATTTAGAACAATTAACCCAAGAAATTCCAAATGAAGAGAATATCTTTATAGGAGACTTGAATGGGTATGTAGGAAAAAAGTGTAGGATATGATATGGTGCATTGAGGATTTAGATTTGGGGAGAGGAATGAATCAGGAGATACAATATTAGATTTTTCAATAGCTTATGAGTTATGATATGGCAATTTTAAACAACTTTTTTCCAAAAGAAGGATGAACACACTTGAATAAAAGAAACAGAAAAAGAACTGTATTTCTGGTGTAGTATTCCTTTTGAAATTGTGCATACCGATGTTTGGGGACTTTATCATATCACTACCATGGGAGGGTACAGATATTTCCTGCTATTTGTTGATGATTATACTCGTTTTTCTTGGGTCTACCTTATGCGTTCTCGAGATGAGGTTCCAGCATTGACCCGGATCTTTCATCAGATGATTTTAACCCAATTTGGGGTCAAAATCAAAATTTTTAGATCCGATAATGCGAAAGAATATTTTGCAAACCCATTAGCCTCTTATTTGCTTGACCATGGGATTATCCATCAGAGTACCTGTCCTCATACACCACAGCAGAATGGGGTTGCTGAAAGAAAGAATAAACACATAGGTGGCCAGAAGCATTATGTTTACCACCAATGTGCCTATACGTTTCTGGGGTGATGCTATTCTTACAGCAGTATATTTCATCAATCAAATTCCTTCACGGGTTCTTGACATGAAACCTCCATTTACCCTTTTATATCCTGATAAAGAGTTGTTTACCGTTCCCCTTAAAACCTTTGGATGTACTTGCTTTGTTCAGATTCTTGGTCCTCATCATTCCAAATTTGATCGTAAGGCCTCAAAATGTATCTTCCTTGGTTATGCACAAACTCAAAAGGGATATTGCTGCTATGAACCCACTTCTAGGAAGAGATGTGTCTCTATGGATGTCACCTTCTTTGAGGATGTACCCTATTATCCAAGGGTTTCTCCTCAGGGGGAGAGTAGTGAGGTTGGGATTAACTCATCAAAAGTTCATTTACTTGTTCCATTAAGTGAAGAGGGTTGTCAGAGGTGCAGGGATGTGAGAATCTATCACAGACAGTGAAGGCAGGTTGATTTTGGTCATCAGCAATCCAGGCAAGCCCCAGTTCCTTCTGTGAATCCAGATCCAGGTACCATAGTTCCTTCTGCATATCCAGATCTAGGTACCACAGTCCCTTTATCAGATATTACAGATGAGATACCTTCCACTATTGAGCCTTCACCTTCATTAGATGACCTTGACCTCCCTATTGTAGTCTGTAAAGGCAAACGTTGTTGCACCACATCCACAACTCACTGCATTTCCTAGTTCTTGTTCTATGATCATTTGTCCCCCTCTTACAAGTCATTTCTTGCACCCATTGATGATATTCCCATTCCCAGAACAGTGCAGGAAGCCTTGTCAATTCCTGAGTGGAATGATGCAATAAAAGTATAAATGGATGCCCTCATCAGAAACAATACCTAGGAGATAGTTGATCAGCCTAAAGGGAAGAAACTGGTTGGATGTAGATGGGTGTTCACTATTAAACATAATGTTGATGGTTCCATTGAAAGGTATAAGGCCCAATTAGTTGCAAAGGGATTTACTCAGACATATGGTATTGACTACTTGGAGACTTTTGCACCAGTAGCAAAGATGACCACTATTAGAGTCTTATTTTCTCTTGCAGCCAGTTACTCTTGGCCTTTGTTTCAGATGGATGTTAAAAAGGCCTTCCTCAACAGAGACTTGCAGGAAGAAGTTTACATGTAGTTACCTCTTGGATTTTATGGTGCAAAGACAGGAAAGAAGGTTTGCAGGCTGAACAAAGCCTTATATGGACTAAAACAGTCCCCTAGAGCCTGGTTTGATAGATTCAGACAAGCCCTTGAAAAGTTCTGATATGTGCAGGCCCAGTCAGACCACACCTTGTTTATTAAGAGGGGGTTTCTTTGTAAAACAGGAACAAAACCAGACGCTATAAGAACGTCTTCCATCCTCTTTTGTTTGCTTCTTCTGGAATACAAAGGCTACACATTTTATCAGATCCTTCCCATTGACTTAGTGAATAAATTTTCCCCATCTATTTTCATTTAGTTGGAAGCATATTATTCTTCTCCTCTCTACCAGCCTACGAAGTTCAAAGCTTCTTTCCCGGTTCTCTAAGATCGCCTGAAACAGATTCACCATCCATTTAACCTCCTCCTCCTTCAAGCTTAACCTCGTCCAAGCACCTCTACCATGTTCTGTTATCACCAATTCTCTTAGATGGTTGTTAAACAAAGCTTCTAGTTCAAATGTTTTGGATCCAGTCACTATCAGTCATCGAGAGGTCACCATTACTGATTGCAATAGAAAGGAGACCGTGGAAGGAAAACTGTTATCTATCTCATTTAACTTTTCTCAATAAAAGACCCAAAAAGTTGGCATGCAACACGAGGACTTCCCARAAGGTCACCCATCCTAGTACTACTCTCACCCAAGCATGCTTAACTTCGAAGTTCTTTTGTTTTCTTTCTTTCTTTCTGTTTTGAGGCATACCCCTTAGAGGCATCTGTGCTTCCAAAGTACTCCTCAGGACGTTCTGATTGTGTGTGTGTGTGTGTGTCGCCTCAAGGCACGCCTCCAGGCATATGCCTCAAATGCCTTTTAAAACATTGATTCATATAACTAACAAAGTAAAATCTGTTGGAAACAATATAAAAGACAATAAATCATTGGGAAATATGTCAGTTCCAATAATACTTCGTTTCAGTACCCATTAAAATGGAAATATTAGGAAATACATTACGTTGACATTTTAAACCATGACTACATCTACAACATGAACAAGATGATCGCAGAAATTGAAGACAAGAAAATGTTTACAATCATGAACCAAATTAACCTCATGATAGTCATAGATGGAACAAATATTGCAATGTTTTAAAACATTGAAGCGTGACACGAGGCATTCCACTATGTGGAGGCGTGAAGCGTAGTTCAGAACATAAGAGGCATAAGCCTCCTGAACTCAAGGAGGTGTAAGCCTCCTTAAGAAGGGGGGATGAGGAGGAAAAAACAGGTGGAGGAGGAGGAGGAAGAAGAGGAAGGAGGATCTCATTTTTCTTTTATTTTTAATAAAAATATTTTATATTAATAAGAACGAAGATGCATAACACTAGCTGAAAGGGGAGGTCTTTTCTTTCCCCTTATCTTTCCTTCCCTTTTGTTTTCTTTCTCTTTTAATTTTTTTCTTTTCTTTCATTCTTTTTCTTTCCCTTCTCTTCCTTTTTTTTTTGAGAAAAGTTAAACAATATTCATTGATAAGAGAACGAGATACATGAGGAGGTGTACAAAGCAGGGGAAGAACCCCTACAATTTACAAAGAAGGAAGTTTGTCGCTATATAGATGCTCTAAGAGCGCACCACATTTCGCTAAGCCATCTTCTGTATGGTTGTATTCCCTAGGGATCCAGACTAACTTAACATTTAGGCATTCCAATGAGTCCCTGGCCTCTTCTAAATAGTGAATTAATCTCCATGGTCCCCCCCCTTTTTGTCTCTTAACCATTTTATTGTATTTGTTGAATCACCTGCAATGGTTAAATTTTGAATTCCCAAATTTTTTATTATTCTGATTCCTGTGAGAGCAGCCATTACTTCAGCCTTTGTGGAATCTGCCACACCAATAGGACCGCTGAAAGTCCAAACGATGTTGCCCCTTTCATCCCTTCTCTTTCTTTTCCTTTCCTTTCCTTTCCTTTCTTTTCTTTTTCTTTCTTTTTTTCTTTTTTTTTCTGTCTTTTTGTAAGAGGTGTGTGTTAGGTGCATGAGGCGTGCGCCTCTAGCACACCTCATGAAAAAGGTGTATGAGGTGTATGCTTCTTGCACCTGAGGCATACACCTTAGAGGTATCAATGCCTCTGGCATACGCTTCACGCATATGCCCCATGCCTTTTAAAACACTAATTCATTGCATCAAATGAAGTAAATATCTCACAAAACATTTTTTCCACAAAGAAAATAAAATCTTTATCACATTCCTAAAGAACATCAGTTGAAACAAAGATTTCAGAATTACCAAAATCAATACACTTTGAAGTTCAGAGGAATTTTGTTTTCCGCATGAAATTGGACAGCAACAATAATAACATTAAGAAAACCGTCCCCATATAGTGAACTTTTTTACCTGATACCAAGCTGCAGATTAAGCATCAGATAATAGCTTCTATGACCTTTAAAAATGGTTTCACCAGACTTCTTTGTTCCTTTTAGTTCACATTTATTTTTTTGAGTCATCTCTGCTTCATTGTTCCTAACCCTCTCGCTAATCAAGACTCCTTGCATGTATTCCCTTTCATATACCAAATTACAGCTGCCTTGCTCCACAGTTTGATCTTCATCAGTGCTAAAGCTGTCCCTTGCCGGAACTTCTGCAAGAGGATCATCAGCACTAGGAGCACCATCTAATGATATGGTCCTATGTGATATCCTTCCAGAACCTCTGACAAGACCAAAAGAAAGCTTCTCAGAAAGACTGTGTTTCATACCCAGTTTATGATCCCTCAGTTCCCCCAAATTCACTGGTGAAGTATGAGGTAGCATAGTCTGAATTTTATCATAATATCCTGCAGTACTACGCCACCTCGTTAGAGATGGTAGTTTACTTCCAGCAGGATAGAATGTTCCCGGTCCATCCTTTTGGCCCCTAGTCCATGTTCCAAAGTAATATCCCCCATCAGCAAACCTGTAAAATCCTGACCCATGTCTCAATCCATCCAACCAAAACCCATCAAACAAATCACCATTTTCCCAATTCATAACCCCCCTACCACACATTTTTCCATCTTTCCAATTACCAACATATGTATTTTGAGCATTCCAGGTATAGCGACCACAGCCATTTCTTACTCCTTCTTTCCAAGAACCTTCATATATATCTGAATTACAATATTTCTTATTTCCAACCCCATTCTGTACGTTCATCCTCCAGGCCCCTGTATAAACAGAGCCATCGAGTCCAGTAAATGTGCCAAAACCATGAAGGAAACCACCAGAAAAGTCGCCCTCATATGCTGCACCTGATGCCCACTGAAAATGTCCCTTTCCAGTCATTTTACCTTCCTCCCACTCACCCTCATAAATTGATCCATCTGACCATGTATATTTTCCTGTCCCATGTGGAAGCATTCCCTTGAAATCACCAACATAAATGTCTCCATTCAAAAAAACCTTCTCCATGTGCCTAGAAAACAAAAGATAACAAACTTATCAAAAGATCCAGAAGGGGGCATTCCAAATATAAAATGTATATAATATCTAGACAAAATCTGACACCTTTTAAACCAAGTATTATACAACAAAAAAGATGTTGCTTGCTGAAGAGATGTGATGAATTGCACCTTTCACTAGCCTCCATGGTCAACTCCAATACCTGATGTAGCTTTGTCACACAATCATCCCCAGGTCTATCTATAAGAAGAGTTTGGCCTTGGAAAATTTGTATTCATGCAGATAAAGGAAATTCTTCTTGATCAACTAAATAGAGCCACCCTGTGCAAAGTTCGGAAGCCCTGAACACACAAGAATATTTTCAGAATAAGAAAAGGAAAACAAATATCAATACATAAAAATTAAGCAGCCCTTCTCAATTTGAGAACACCATAAGTGATAATTCTATGTTAGTGACTATAGCCTCTAATCCTGGACTTTTATCAAATGACAATAGCTATACCAAAAATTATGGAACATCCATATATGCTTTTCAGGAGAAAAGGACAATAGCTTTTCACCATAACAAGATCAAAGAGAATTTATTAATGAGTATAAGAAAGTAGAAAGTGAGAAGGGGTACAAGTGAAGCCCTTTCAAGGGAGAAAAGCAGTAAAATAGAATAAAACTCTATCACACTCCTAAACTAATAACCGGAAGAGCTCAGCCTCAATTTAATTCACTTGCTCAAGCCCAAGCTTAGCCAGTAAATCTAATAGGAAATCAGAGTGAATGTAGTAGGACCAAGGATTAAAATCTCGATACACACCGATAGTGAGCATCAATATGCCCGATACTCTTTTGATTTTTTCTTTTGTAATAATGAGAGAGTCCCAGAAGAGGTCTGAGACCTTTTAAAGTGTTCAAAATATTTGTATATCGGTGTATCCAAGCATATTTGGATACATCAATACCGACACGGGCTGTATCATATTGATATTTTAATCCTTGCATAGGACATTAAGGAGAAAGTCCTAGTTAGCAATGGTGGGCTAAAAGGGCGAGTAAGAAAGAATTCAGATATGATATGGAGGGAGAGAGAGAGAAGATACTTGGAGCAAGCTCCCATGGTCAAAATTCACTAAAATATAGATTCTACTCAACTCTAAAAGACTAAAAATACACTTATAATGGCACAAATTTCACTAAAAAGATTTCTGATTGAATTAAACTAAGGTAATGACAGAGATCACATCGAGACTGATGCACCAAACATGGTTTGCACTTACATAAGGCATAGACAAGTTAGTTTAAGATTTATTTTGCTTAATGTAGAATTTGGGTTCATTTGTAAGGTTTCTTTTTTTGTTGGGTTCATTTGTAATATTTCTTATTGTTTTCTTTTTTTTTTGGAGAAAAGTTAACTGAAATTCATTAAAATAGAAACAGGGGTACACAAGGAGGTGTATAAAACAAACTGGGGAAAACCCCTAGAGATTGCACAGGAGGAATCCTTTCACAGTACAAGCCATCTAAGTTGGCGCCAATCTTTGCTGAACCATCAGCAATAGAGCTTAAGTCCCTTGGAGTCCAATTTAAGTTCACATTCATAAGATCCAATAAGTCCCTTGCCTCCACCAGAAAGTGACTGAGCCTCCATGGCCCAGCCTCCTCCTCCCCTAACCATTTTATAGTGCTTGCAGAGTCACCTTCAATGGTTAGATTCTGAATGCCCAATTTGTTAACTAAACGAATCCCTGTGAGTGCAGCCATCTCTTCTGCTATGGTAGAATCAGTTATTCCAATTGGGCCACTGCAAACGTAGCAGATATTTCCCCTTTTGTCTCTTAAGGCTCCTCCAATTCCAACTACACCAGGATTACCTGATGCACTTCCATCAAATCTTAGAGTCAAACCTTCTTCCCATTTGAGAATCAGGCTTCTAGAGGTGGGTGGGGGAGTTGGGGAAAAGAACAAGAAGTTGTGAGCATTCCTATTAAGGTCATTTGCAGAGATGCCTATGAACAGATCCAAACTGGAAGGTAACAAATTACAGTAGTAGTGATATGAGAAATCACCTCATCCCAGGATTTGACCTTTTTTTTTTGAGAAAAGGTAAAGTATAATTGTATTAATAAAAGGTCCTGTGTACATTGAGAAGCTGTACAAAAAAAAGGACCTCAGAAAAAGGCCATCCTCAAAAAAGTATAATCAGAAGTACTGTCTCTAAAATCAGTATGTATCTCTAAAATCCCAGGATTTGACCTTATTATCAAACAAACAATTATTCCTTTCTACCCAAACACCCCAAAGCACAGCATGCAGCACAGTTTGAATATAACAAGTTGACTTGAGAAGAAGAACAAGATTTTCCTTTGAATATAACCTGGTGCAAGCACGTCCCTTCAAAGGTGGCTTTTTTTGTATGGTCTGCCTATCTGAACAACATTCTCACAAAGGACAAAATGATAAGGAGAGGAAAAAAATGAAACAACCATCTTTCACTATTAATTGTCTATATCTTCATTTGAAACATAGAAGATAAACATATTCATGAAAAAAAAAATGAAAGAAAGAAAATAAATTTCAGAAAATAGAGGGTCAAAGCAACTATTTTTATCATAAGAAAACTAGAAAAGAAAAAAAAAGGTGAAAGAAGAAGCATGAAGATATTCAATATGTGTTGATTGGATAAAATATTGAGTTCTTTCATGCTTATTAGTTCAAGTTTTGAAGTCTCCAAGGGTTCAAGGCAGTATACATGTTGATTGAACCCTAACAAATGAGAAAAATAATAAAAAAGAATTAGTATTTTAACTTAAAATGAATAATTTAGTTTAATAATGTCTATTTTATTAAGAATATAAAAGTATCCAAGAGAACCGTGTAAAAAATGTCTTGGAAATTAAGCAAGGTGGCCCTCCATGAGCACCTTATCGCCTAGGCATTGCCTTGATCACCCTGATGGGGCCCATACCCTTCAGCTAGTATGGGTAGTTACAAACACTTCATATTATTTGTTGATGGTTATTCTATACTCACTTGGTTGTATCTCCTCATAAGCAGAAAAATGTTTTTTTTTTTTGATAAATTCAAAAGCAAAAAAAAAATGTTCCACAATTTATCAAACATTATTATAATATGGTGGAGACTCAATTTGAGAAAAGGATTAAAATTGTTAAGCCAGATAATTCCAAGGAATACTTCAAGAAAAAATCTTGTTCTATTCCTTGAAGAGACGGAAGTCATTCATCAAAGTTTGTGTGCTTATACACCTAAACAAAATGGGGTTGCAAAGAGGAAAAACAAGCATGTGGATGAGGTGGCTCATAGTTTATTGTTTCAAATATATGTTTCTACTCAGTTTGAGGGAGATGTGGTGCAAGCTGTTGTTTATTGATCAATAAACTTCCACCCAAAGTTCTTCAATCAAGATTGCCATATCAGATGTCACATGGTGATGCTCCTGTCTACAGCCTTCCCTTGAGTCTTTGGATGTGTTAGCTTTGTGCATTATATGAGCCCTTCCCATGTCAATTTTGACCCAAAAGCCATTGTGTGTTTTTCGTGGGTATTCCTATACTCAAAAGGGCTACAAATGTTATGACCCTCATTCTAGTAAGTGTTTTGTATCGAAAGATGTTACTTGTCTTTGAGTCCAACCATTCATTTCTAACTATGTCTCCTATGATTATTTGTCTCCTCCACATCTTGCTTTCCTTGTTGCTTTGTTTTTTGCTTCAATTTTTAAGAATGTTCCATAGGTTGTTGCTTAACCACATTGGAAGGAGGCTATAGATCAAGAAATAGAGGCCTTAGAAAAGAGCATCAAACCTGGCTTAGCTGGGATACTGTGCATTAACGAAACCAGCTTAACAAATTGCACCCATGTAATCCAGAAAATAACCTTTTCTCAAATCCTAGTCAACTTAGAGTCAATTAACAGAAAAGCAGCTATCTATGTAGCCAATCAGAGACATGCTTTTGTGATAATCAAAAGCAACCAGTTCATTTGGTCAAGCCATCCAGGAATTAAGATAGGAATTGATAGTTGTTCAACAGTTCCAAGTGAGGATGACACATCCAACCCATTTGTGAATCAGTTTTCACATGGATACCATAATAATTATATGTATCAACCATTCATACAAGCAATAACATGGCTATGTAGCCACCAACTCTTAGAAGGAGTCAACTGATAAACCTTGGCAATCATTTGCCAAAATGCATTTCCTAAACATTTTGATGGAATTTGTATCTTAATATGGTATTGCACGCCACATGACTTCTAACGCATCATGGATGATTTGAACAAATCAATTAAGAAATGGCATCGGGCTGTCTATCCATTGTTGGTAATATTATTCTCAAATTCATCATCTAGCATTCTATAGCAGAACCATATTTTACATGCTCCTCAGGTTTGAAGAAATTTATCATTAATCAAGAATTTTACATGGGAAAACGGCATCTCCTGTCTATTGCTCTAAAGGGACCAACAACCCAATAAGCTTCACTCCATAGACCAGCCAGAAGAGGCTTATATTCAATTACGCAATTGAGCAATACTTGAAGAGTAAAATGGTCTTAACTATGATTGTTATTACATTTTTTTGCTGCACGCATCTCAAGATCATTAGCACATGCATTATAGTTATTGAGAGAAGATTACTCATTGCAGAACAGAATGAGAGGTCAAGAAGAAAGAAAGAGAGAAGCTTGTGGTGGATTTCCTAGAAGCTTTGACACCATGTGAAAGTGTTCTAAGATTTCATACTGAATGTTGGCCCTTGATAAGATTGGCCAGATTAACGGGTTGATTTTATATATTTATGCAAAAGACCCAAAAAAGGTATGTTAGAATTGAGATGACATACAACTACAGGAAAGAATTATCAAGTCGAAAGACATGTGAAGGGAACCATCCTTCCTATTATCACTGTAGAGGTCAGTACCGTTTCCAAGAAAAAATTAAGAAAGAAAAACTAATAATTTACTGTTTTATTATCTATCCTGCTGCAGTTTCCTTACTGCAAGATCTCCATATGATCATTGAAAATTAATAAATGCACTCACAAAGAAACTAACTCCCGAATTCAAAAAAGTTCTAACATCTTCCATATGGAAGTTAATTGCTTTGAACTATTCATTTTGGCATTCCCTTAAATTTCTTCTCCAAACTATTTCGTTTACTTAAACATAATTAATAACCCATTTGTTCTAAATTAAAGAGAAGAAAGAAAAATAATATATAGGACAGAAAAAGGCGAAGAATATTTCAATTAATTGATAAATTAACTAAAACAGTAACAAATCCATAAATGAATGAGAAACCCACCTGTAGTAGATCATAAATCTTCGAAACCAGTCAATCTCCTGACCTCCTCGAATCATCCAAACAGCTGAAGGTGATTTGCAGGAAAAGTAGCTAGGTGTAAAGAGACATCACAGAGACAGTTGAAGAGGAAAACCGAAAGAGAGACCTTGAAATCCAACAAGAAAAGGAGAAAATAAAGGATTTTGGGTGGCCACGTTGTAGTGGAGATCGTGGACAATCGACACTTGAGCTTTTCTAAATTCTTTAGTTCTTCCACTGTTGCTTCGTTCGTTCATGGTTTCCGTTTGTGCAACTCTTGTACTCCTTTCTGTCGAGTGGACACTATGATGGTCTGCCATCTTCGTGTCTGACCCTCTTGGCCAACATGCAATAATGTAGGGCCCACTAGTTGCGATGAGAATGAGATTCGCTGGACCAGAGAGTGACCGGTTCCTCTTGATGTTGGTATTTGGTGAGCATCCTTTGCAAGCTTCGGAGTTCGGACATGGAAATGGGTCGGGTTCCATTTTTGGTCTGTCTTGTTTCTTGAACACGTTTGGCCTACTGAGTCAAAAGAAATGGGTTCCATGTGGAATTATAAACAAAAGAAAACTCTTAAAAAATAAAATCCACTCATTTCTGTGTGGACCCTCTTTTAGATGGGACCCATTTTGGTCTTTTAAATACCCACCACGTGTTAAGTTATAGGCCTTAGATCACAACTAAAAATTAGGTAAGACAGATCTAGTGGCAAGTCATAATCCGTTAAACACATAAAAACGGTAGGTTCCAAAGGGGTCCATTCTGCAACTATAAATTCTATGACCCAAGACCTATAAGTTGGCACATTTGATGAGTTAATTATAAGAAACTTGCGACCCGAATACAACATTTGGAATTCGGATCCGGACAGGAATGACATCTAGATGACCCCCTTTCCAATCCTTTCCCACTTTCTCATGAACATTGAACAATGAGCAAAATGAATATAGTACAGCCACCTTTGGGGAAGGCATCAAAGGATGGGGTCAACCATGGCACCTGATAAAGGTAGGGTCACCATCAGTATCTGCCACGTGTCGAGAAATGGTAGAGGACATGATCTCAAATAGCTGTTCAAATCAGGAAAGCATATATATCAGGTGGTTTCCATTGGCTGATGAATGTAGTAGGCAATGAGGTGGATGTTGTGGTTCCAATCCATTTGTCAAACATGATCTGAGACAATATGGCCCATGCAATCTTTCTGTGGTAAACACTCAACTTATGCTTCTTCTTACTTCTTGATCACTCCTCCAAAATTAGAATAAAGATGAGAGAAGAGAAGACTTTTATTGGGTGTTGTCTGTAGATAAATAAAGAGTGGATTTTATTCCTACACACATGTGAATTGCCAATTTCACAAGGGATCTTCTGGCTTGAATACATTAATGGTTTCTTCATTCAAACGGCAACTGAAAAGTTACCATGCTCTTTTCATGTAAGGATAAATGTACCGACATGATTAGCCTAAATGTCCGATATGGGGTATATCCTAACAATTTTCAAGGCCACTGAAATGTAAAATACTAAGGCTTATGGGATACTAATTAATAGTTTGACCTGTTATTAGTTCATCCTAAAAAATATATTTTTAAATAAATATCAATGCACAATATTTAATTAATTTTGTTGCATTGTAAGTGTCAATATTTGAACCTTGTTCTCATGCGAAAAATCTTAGGTTCTCCCTATATGAAATGTTAATCCATATTATGTTGCATGAAATTCATATGAACCATTGTATCATCCAAGGAGAGCCCTCGATGAGCATTCACGGGTAAAATATGGAAAAAAAAATATCTTTGATTTTGAATACCTTAATGGTGAGAACATGACCAGCATGATAGTAAGGCTTGAAATGTCTTTTTCTTCTAGGATTACGTTCAACTTGATTATGTCTCCATATATAACAAAAGGAAACGGCATGAAATGAGGTTTAATTTCTTGATTTGGATCAAGTAGGAAGCCTCTCCCAACTAACCAAATTTGTTTCTATTAGGAAGGAAGGAGTTCCTACCCAAGCTGTTCTTCATGTACAGACCACATGTTCAATCTTACAAATCGTAACATCTTCAACTGCACTGATATAGCAAGTGAAAGTGATACAAAATAGACAACATTAACAAAGAGATCACTACTCACTGGAGCAAATTAATGCAAATATAGTGTCTGTTTGGCAATTGGGATTGAGGCCATTATTTCAAAAAACGGTGATACATCAGCGCAACATTGGAAAAAATGGTGCTCCAGGAAATGCTTGTTTGTTTGGAACCGTTTTTTCATAAAAAAACGGTACTGCTCCAAACCACGTCTTAGAAATCGAAAAGGCGTGGTTTGGAGTAACGCTGAATTTGATGTTTTCTTAGATTGCAGCTCATTAACGAGAATATGATGTGGCAGTGACATGGACTTCCTATGATAGATACCAATGCTGAAAACAGACATGGAGCATTGGTAAAACAGAAAGTATTATTGTTGCTCCAGCAAACGTCTTACTTGGCAGCAACGTTTCCAAACAAAAAAAAAACACAATTTTCTCAAAAAATAATGTTTTATCTACAACATCAATGCCAAATATATATAATTAATTTAAGATATTTAACCCTCGACTGAGTGGTGTAAGCATTAGGTTTAAGCATCTTTTTGGAGAAGCCAAATAAGCTGACTGATTTTCTTGCATGGTAATCTGCAGGGCTATATGGGTGACGCCAAATATTGCTATAAAGGGATAGAGTGTGCAACTTGAGTGGACTTGGGTTGGGATTCTGTCAAAATTTGAAAAGACCCGATTAGATAAACCGGGTCCGATGCAATGTATCGGATACCTGATTTGAAGAACTCTGGGGTTGGTCAGCCCGCTTTCATTTGTAATGAATTCTTTCTTAAATTATGGTCAAGTTTTTACTTTTTTAGTACAAAGCTTATCCATAATTTTTTTTTCAAAGTTTTTACTTTTTTCTTTTTCTTCTTTTTTTATTTTGACTAGAAACCAGAAAAAGGTACTGCTAGACTCGTTTTAATTAGCTCCAAACTAATTTTCCACGTGAGATTCCTGGGTGGACGCTCACTATATCCATCCAACTAGCAAACCTCCTCTTTATTATATTTCAGGTCAAATAAAGAAATTAAAATGGATGTTTCATTTTTTTGTTCTTTTTCCCTGCTGAATTATCAGCTAATTAAATTTATTTATTTCATTTTTACCAAAAAAAATGCAACTATACAAAGAAATTACTGTAAATATTTTTAAATTTAAGGGATTCTATTGATAAAAATAATAGAAAGAAATAAAATGTTAAATCATAATATATAGTTCTATTTTTCCAACTTAAAACAGTTTATTGTTTCATTAAAAAACACAATTTTTCTGCCCCCAAAACCAATAATCTAGAAAACAATAAAACTCTTCTCTATGCACTGAATATACTCCTTTTGCTATCCTTTATTTGAGAAAGAAAAACTTTGGCCTAAAGAATATGTTAGATGTTCAAAATATGCCCTTCCTTTGAGGGCATCATAATTTTAATGAAAAACAATAAAAAAAATTGGATGGTTGTCATAAATTGGACAAGTCTCCGGGCCTCCGGCTGATGTGGGTCAAAGTTTTGAAATGGGGAAGGCCCTTGCTTAGGCATAATGGCCCAAATAGGCAAGCATAAATCTCAAAAGAAAAAGAAAAAGAAAAAGAGAAATTGATTGATAAAAATATATAAATATACTTGAGCACAACATAATTTTGTATAAATGTACATATACAGAAATCATTCACAATAAAGGAATATTTGGCAACGTGTGTGGTTTTATTTTTCAGAACAACATAATTACTACATCAGCAAAAATATATTATTTTTTCTGATGTGGTAGTTGCTTTAGTTTTGAAAATCAAAACCAATTATGTTTCTAAATAATTGAAAAACAAAGAATTTTCTTGTTTCTTTTTTTTTTGTTATGTTCAGTTTTTGTACAGCTGGGTATGCCGAGCTTGAATACTTGTACAAATTTTCCTTGAATGAAAACTCTTTTTGCTTCAGTCTTTAGTCTTACAGGTTTTTACTGTTCAGTCCATCCGAACAAATCTTATCTTCATTGTACAGTTGGGATAGGTGTCAACTCGGAATTGATGTCAATACAAAGACGGGCATTGGTGTTATAAATGGAATTGTTTAAAATTTTGAATTGTTATAAGTCTGTAATAGAATTCAAAATCCTGAGGTAGAGTGCAGTTTATTTATCCCTTATTAGTCTTATTCTATTCTTTAGCTTATACTTGTGTCTGCCACTTATTTATCAACTTCGTGTTGTGGTTTCCTAGAGCCCTACTTAGACTTGGTGTGATGGCAGCTTAAGTTCACACGGGCACGCTCCTCGCAGGGTTCTAGGGAAGAGATCGCCCACGAAGGTCTTCGGAAGTCTTTGCTTTCCTCGGCCGGGGTGTCTATCCATGGGGAGGTGGCACTTGCCTTCATTCACTGACATGGCATTAGTCCTTATCTGCTGGTGTAGGACAGAAATCTTTGGCCATGGCAGGTTTGACCAGCTAAGTCACGGCCCGAACACATTAAACATTAAAGACACATAATTTATGGTTGTCATATGGTATTATTTGATCTGGCAATCCAAAAACAAACTCTCCCTCCATATCTTGAAGTTTTAAAAATAATAATTGAGTAGCACATGCAAGAGAGGATAGAATAGAGAGGAAAAGAGAGATGAATAGAGTGCAAAGAGAGAAGAAATAATTGATTAAATTTTTTGCATGGTGGTCTGGATGTGGAGCCAAGACAAGTATATATACTCCCGGTGGAGGGAAGCCTTGAATATTTTATTTATATATAAGAGAGAGAGAGAGTTCCATTTGATATTATATTGGAACAAGGTTTCCTAATTAACCCACATGTTCCTATCACATGAAAAGATCCTCTGGCCGACCCACATTGTCCATCACATAGGAACCCTTTGTTTTTTCTTTTTTTTGAAAAGAAACCCTTTGGTATTGGCCACTTGCTCAATTTTATTGTCAATATGTTTCACAGTTAGCATAACTAATAATAGAAAGAAAAGTTTTAACTTTTTACCATAAAACTCGTGTATAAAGGAGGAGGTATTATTGACACATATGACAATCTCTTTAGAACCAAACTTTTCTCGATGAACAGAGGGTGGGGAGAGGAAACAGGAAACTCCTTTTGGGCACTAATTAAGTTACTTTTCACATGGAAGATTCCCATAAAAGAGGGGTTATTTTACACAGTAATAACCTCTTTAGGGTCAAACTTTTTTGCATGAACAGTGGTGGGCAGAGGAACTTGGAGACTCCTTCTGAGTTACAAGTTAATTTTTCACATGGAAGATTAATTCCTCAGTCGTTTAAAGAAGCTCACTACACAAACCAACAAACCAGCTCGCTATTAAATTATACATTAGCTCATACTAACAAAAAGAATGTTGTATTTATGGCTTCATTTTTCACTTTTCTGTTTTAGTTAAATTCACTTCATTTTTAGCAAAATGTCACTAGATAAAGTCATAAAGGTATTATTGCAAATTTCTCCAACTTTCTTTAGGGGTTTTGTTGAATAAATTAAAAACAATGAAGACTAACAACACTTCCAAGAATAATCATGATAATTCTATCTTTAATGTTTAAAATCTTCTGATTAAAATAGTTTATTTGTTTTTTTTTTTGTCAGAAAAGAGCAGATGTATTAACAAGATTCAAGGAGGATGATGGATACAATTAGAAAGAACACTCCACCAGGAGGGAAGAAGAGAGTCATTCATTTGCTTCGTTAATGACCACATATCTTCCACCCCTAAAACCAGAAACATACACAATAAAATATACCATATGGAATTTATGTTCAAGAGCTCTCACTCACAATGCACTAAAATTGGAAAACAAAACAAAACAAAAACTCTTCCTCTGCTCCTTTTGATCATTTAACCATGGTGAAAACTTTTGCCCAAAAAGATTTAGCTAGGTATTCAAATTCGAGGAATTATGCTAAGCAACGAGTTTATGCAAATCTTACTTTCATCACCTGGACAACTGAGATCCATGAAAATAGGTGAATGAATTTGTTGGTGTGGAAAGTGAAGAGCAGTTTCTAACATTGTGGCTAGTGTTTTGAAGATATCTAGAAACATTAGATTTTACAATTATAATAAGTCTTCGCCAAGGCTTATAGCACTGCTCCTTTATTTATACTAGTTATGAATGAATCGAGTAAACATATTTAGGAGGTCCCATGGTGCTTATAGTTTGCTGATTGCATTGTATTAATTGATAAATTAAAACCAATGGAGATTTAATGCACAATTAGGTCTATGGATAAATACCTTAGAAATAAAGTAGGGCTGAAAAAATATATATGCAATAGGGAGAGATTGAGAAGGATGTTGCTCATAGAATCAGAGTAGGATAGGCAAAATGGAAGGGTACATTTTTTGGTAATTAATCATACACCCAAATCCCTCATAGGGACCATAGTTCTTTTATTCTTTTTGGGAATAGCATAGCACCACACTAATAACTCTCCTTCAAAGTTGGTGGTAGCGGGACCCGAATCCGGATCTCCCTTGGAACAAACCAGCTAACATACCAACTGAGCCACCACCGGCAAGAAATGGTGCATTTGGTCAATCAAAAATCATATATAAAAAATGAGCGGCAAAAATATGAATTTTGATATGGATAAGTGTGAATGTCATGAAAGATAGGATTAGGGGTGCAAATTGGGCGGGCTGGGTTGGGTTTAAGCTCAATCCAAGCCCAACCCTAAGAATTGGGCCTAAGGCCCAAGCTCGGACTAAGCCTTAGGTCAAGCCAGCTTATTCAATCTGGGACTAGCTTGCACTAAAGTTTGATTCACTCAGGTTGGTCTCGAGATGGGGCTGAGGTTGGGTTGGTCAATCAGCCCATACTAAAATCTGATATAAATGTATGTGTATATATGGTTGGGTTAGGCTCTGATTGGGATAAAGTAAAGCTGGATTTGGGCTACCTAAGAGCTAGGCCTGAGCCAAACTTGAAAAATAAAAAACCCAAACTTTTTTTGGCCCATATCCAACATAAGGACAAACAATCCAAGCCAATCCATATAAAATTGCAGATTGGATTAGTTTGGGCTTGGGTTGGGCCCATCAAGCCACACCCCAAGATAGGATCAGAAATACTCATTCAAGAAACCTAGGTTTGATCGCACACAAAAGAAGACCATCTAAGCACCCATAAGAAGTGATTTGTTACAAGTTGAAGGGGGTAGAAGAGTTGATGACAAACTAAAAATGGACATGGGTTGAAGTAATAAGAAATAACTTAAGGGTTCATAATTTAACAATAGATATATGACACTGAATAAAAATGAATGGCAAAATAGGATTCATATAACTGATCCCATATAGTTGAGACAAGGTTTAGATAATGATCATGATTATCATCATATATAGCTTAGGAACCAATATAAATCTCATTAATAATTTAAAAATAATTTTAATTACCGTTTAACTTTTTTCCTTCTTTATTGGCAACCAGTGAGTACTCTTTCTTGTCAAATAGGCAACCCGGGTTCAATCCTTGTTTAAACTTTGATAGACTATCATTTGGTATACCGTTTAACTTTTTTCCTTATTTATTGGCAACCAGTGAGTACTCTTTCTTGTCAAATAGGCAACCCGGGTCAATCCTTGTTTAAACTTTGATAGACTATCATTTGGTATAAGGAAATTGTAATGGGAAGTGGTGTAACATCATTTATTTATAGCATCGAGGGCCTCTTTCCTAATGGCTTTCATCCCTAGGATTTCCCTACTTTATGCACCACCTTTACATTCATATTAAGAATCCTAAATTAATATAACTATTTGAAAAGATGGACCATTTACCTTGAGGATTTTATTTTGTATGCATTTACCTTGAGATCAAAGCGCCCTTAATTTGGTTGGGGCTAGGAAATATTAACCATCAAGGACTTTGTTGGGGGAACATCTAGAGAGTCGATGCAAGCTACAAAGGAATGGCTTCCTTCAACCTGGTTATTGATGCTTTCAACGCTCCCTGGGATTTAGCTTACAAAAAAGAATTGCTCATTGTAAGGGGTTGTTCCCCAGCATCAACTTCTCTCTTTGTTCTTAGTTTCAAAGAAGGTCCCGCACCTGGTTTGAAAATTATTGACTTTTAAAACAAGAAAAAGAAAATAGCGGAAAATGTACTTGATTGTGATGCATATTTTTGGTTTCTAAAACTAAAACAAAAAAATGCATATTCTTCTTCTAGGGTATTAATTTTGCTGATGTGGCAGTTGTTTTGTGGTTCTGATGTCATGTTTCAAAAAGAGCACATAATAGTTGGACAAAGATTCTGATCAACTGGACTTTAGTTCGCCTTATTTATTTTTATTTATACTTTGGAACCAAGATCCCAAAGTCACTAGTAGCCCTTTGAAAATGATAATATGTTTAAGTTGTTGAAAGCATCTTTTTATTGGTTCCAAACACACGGGTATTTTCTGAACCAAAGTGAATGTTTTCACCATTGTTTTGAAAGAAACATTGTTCATAAGTTTTTTTTATTATTTTCGCTGATGTGGAGTATTTAAGAAATAAGAAAAAACAAGAACGTTCTTGTTTATAAGTATTCCTTTTTCACTAGATTTGGTTATATTTTTACAAATCTCTCCTATTTTCTTCGATCCTCTAGAATACAATCTCTCTCTCTGAGGTTTATTTTCTTTGATCTTCTAGAATATAATCTCTCCTATTTTCTTCGATCTTCTAGAATACAATCTCTCTCTCTCTATGAACAACTTCCTTGTATGAAACCTAGTGGGTAAGTGATATTCAAATGGCCCAGATCACCTGGGTCGAAAAAGCATATCAATAAAGCAAAAATAGCCGTGAAGAAAGAAGAGCAGAATTAAAATGTTGTAGTCAAGAGAGATGGAGAGCCATTTGCTGGAGAAGTAATTTTTTCTGAGCTGCATTGATTACACCATTACACTCAGCATCTGCTAATACCTCTGTCATTATAGCAGCTGCATGACCTATGGGTTCCTCCTCAGATGCCCTTCTTAACATGAACATCTGACAAGACAAAAAACCAGTGTCAGTCTCATTGAAAAACAAGAGCATGCATGTCTTACATGTATAAATGAAGCTATATGTTGCATTTTTAAGTTAGTTTAGGACCCGGTTGATAACTGAAAATAAATGGAAACTCAAACTCAACAGAACCAGAGAACCCAATGCTGCCTAGCTAAATCCTTGTCCTAATTTTCATACTTAAATTGCCTATGTTTTGATGATGCTTATTGATCTCCATGTACCAGAAAGAAATTAAAGGGAGCAGGTCAAATGTACTTGATTTTCGAGACAGGGGTTTTGAATGCATGTAACATACCACTCGGTATGTGCATATCTAAAATTCATGGAAAGGAGACGGTCTAACAGTCATACAAGGTTAGTTTGGCTCTCGTGTTCAGATTCATCTTTGTCCATTTTATTTAAAAGCTTGAATAGGGGACAACTAATAAACATAACCCAAGTATGCAAAGCAGATTCAAAATGTGGGTGCCCCTGTTTTGGACATTTCCATCTTTAGCGCAAGTTCCATATCAGACACCTACCTGTTCATGCCTGTCTCCAATCCAAGCCATATTTAGGTAACAAATTCAACCCCCTACTTGATGTAAATAAAACACCCTGTTTACAAGAATTTGGTTTGCATGATAGCTCATGTATGCATACAGCCTGTTTCAATAGATAAAAACTAAGTAAATAGTACCTGCCCATGATGTGTAATTTCTAAACAACCAGGTTGTTGGATAAATGGCTCCCCATCTATCTGAACAGGGAAAGGACTGGAAATGTGTATTCTTATAACTTCTCCTTGGGCTAACCTCCTAGCTTGGGAAAGTCCAACCTGCAGAATATAAAAGGCTTCACCAATCAGACATTCTTGCAGTTAAAATCATCATGTGAGCCAAGAAACAATTTCAAGAGAACTTCAATAAAAATAAAGAAAAGTAACTATATGCAATGGTGGTTTTCATGAGCAATGATGTTTCTAAATTAGTGGAAAAGCACATCCAACAGCCTTTACTTATCTTCTGTTTACTACTTATTTATTAATCAGAAGGGGTAAAGAGGCAAAGAGTGTCAAATTTCTCTAGGCAATACAACTAATAAGACTTGGTTATGGGAGGTTTTTAACATAGAAGGAAAAAGAAAAGAGAAAGAGGGCAAGAAAATTACACCTGAATCTTGCCTAGGTGCCATGCTCCACAGATAGATACAACCTCCAGAACCTTATCGTGCATTGACTGAAGATTGAAATCATCATCGTGTTCATAATCATTTTGCCAAAGATCTACTCCACCCATGTAGCTGCCTATGTTAAGTACAATTACACCTTCGGCATCCTGTTAAATGAAGGTAAAGAACAAAAAAGAGATAAGATATGAGAGGATTTAAAGAGAATAACCATATGATTGTTGACCTGTGAGAAAAAAATGGTGAAACAAACTAGAGAATTGTGTGAAAATATGACAAAACAACAAGAAAAAATGTGACTTCACCTTTGGGATATCAATATATTTTCCATCTACTTCAAGACGAACTTGCCATGGTAGATCTGCACATGTTCTATCCATTATATCCTTGGCACCTTCCTTTGCATAACGTAGTTTATTCACAAACTGCTGAGTGAATTATTGGTTAGTTTACAAAATGAATATTTGCATATTAGCTAATCACGAGGAAATAAAAGTGTTATGCCATTCTATGTTCCAAATTCAGAAAAGAACAAAAGAAAAAAAAATGTTTAATATTTAGAGCTAAGTGGTCAACATGTTTGAACTCTTATCGGTCTTAGCGTTCCTGCCGCTTCTAATAATACCTGATAGGCAGGCAACTTGTCCTAGCCTTTGACCTCTCTACTTAATCTTGCTAGCTATAAGTTCTGTTACTGTATAGAATAACAGAGGCATGAATCTATGGATCTGTCTCTCAATTCAATAACAGTTTATTCATTAGTCTCTTACTCTTAAGCTTCATTATCTATGAGTTGCAAAAAGACAATTGCCAGTAACAATATAGAAGACTCCCAAGCTATCATGAACTAGTATTACTAACCAGAAGACAAATATGTTGAAGAAAGGTACAATACTGAGTATAGACACATGAAAAAGAGAGAACTCTGAGCATAATCTATAGACTAATTGGCATGGGCATGATGATCCAAAGCTAGCCAATATCATCATCACCAAAAAGATGGTCAATATGTAGGCAAAAATTCAGGGAGAAAAGAATATAATTTTAGCATTTAATTGGAAAACGTTACATAACATTTTCTGTCCACAAAAGCAGAAACAAGTAAATGTATACATCCACATCAATGGACTTGCATGGAAAAATAAACACTAGTGGTAGACTCACCACCAAAACCAGATCAAACACACACGCCATCCCAAAACTTTCATTAGCAAATGACCACATCCCAGATCCTTGGCATGTTTGAATCCCATTTTTCATTCAGTTTCTCTATATGTCAGATTTGATCAATGCTCCATTAAGTTGGCCAAACAATGGAAGCAACTATTTTTAATAACTTACTATGATTTATGTCAGTTGCTAATTGGAGAGAGGAGGCCTTACAACGAACACTCAAACCAAAGGCCATTATGATTCTAATTAAATCATCGTTCCAGCAATCAAATTTTAGTTATACTTAAGTCAATTAAACTTTGTGTGCTTTTAAAGGTCAAACTTGCAATTAAACATTGTCTGTGTCTGTGCTTTTAAAGGTCAAAACTTATTCTCTTGAGAATCCTACTGAACTGCCACCAGGTGTTATGGTAGACAATCATTCAAGATTATAGCCAACTTTGAACCATAATGTTCCTACACCTCTAATACTGCAGTGCATCATTTATAATAACAAAGTTATTCCAGCAACTGAGCCTAAATAAGGCCACTCAAAATTGGACATAAAAAATGTCAAGGAAAAAGAAAGATATGCAAGCATGTGGCCAGAGACATAACTAAGTTTATAATGACAAGATCACTACCTGGCTGTAAAATTTCTCAGGATTCTCCTCCCTAGTCAAGTGAAATTCATATGCAACCTTTGCATCACAGCCAATGCCTGTATAATAAATAAATAAATAAGTAAAATACCCATCATTGATTAAACAGATTCAAGTAACAATTGGCAAAAAAAAGTAACAAACAGCAACAGCAGTAATAATATCAACAAGCATACCCAAATAGTTCATCATGAACTTTGATTGTACTTTTCTGGGACTACTTTCTTGGTTTTCTTCTTTGATATTAACTTTCCAGCGATCTAACATTGTTACTGCTGCATGATTGATGTCATGAAGAACATTACCTAACCAATCTTGACCCTCAACTGAAGACAAACCTCCTCCCCACCGCAAAACCCTAGACAAGTCATTTCCCGTGCCTAGAGGAAGTATACCAACAGGTGGAGGTGATTCAAAGTTATGCTTCTCAATGGAATCAAGAACCCAGGCAACAGTACCATCTCCACCACAAACCAGAACCCTAAAATACTGAACAGCTTCAAACAACTTCAACCCAGCCTCGGCCCCTTGGGAAGGACAAAGTTCAAAAATCTGCAGTTAACCACAATGGAATTAAGCTAAGATCAGCACACATGATACATTTATGTATTCTGAAAATTCTCAGTTGAAAAGGGAATGAATCAATATACAAACTACATCCATTTTAAAAATTGCTCTTATGGTTATCCGATGAATACAATCCATGAATTATATAATATCCAAACTCCAATAGAAAGGAAATTTATGACAATAAAAAAAGGTTGAGGAATACAGAGTAAATATATAAGCTCTTAATAAATAAGAATTTTACAGAGATTGTGCTTGCAGAAAGATTGAGGTCAGATAATGATATACTTGTTTATACCCCAGAAAGGACAACAACTTATATACACACACAGATATATATATAGACACACACACACACACAAGAAAGATGCTCAAGAAAGCAAGACAGACCTTCCCAACAGCGGCATATACCTCAGAACTGAAAGTAGATTCAAAGGGGAACTAGTTCTACGTTTCTAAGATAACTTTAGTGCAAACAGGAAGATATTTAATTTTCCAATATAAAGACATTATAATGAATTTGATGTTTCACAATCCACTGGGAATGCTCAGAAGATACATCAAGATTCATCGAAGATTTATTTGAAGTTAATGATGACAACATTGAATCTTGGAAGGATTAAATGAGAAAGTTAAGACATGTTGACTAGATCAAGATAAACCACCCAGAACACCAAGTTTTCTATTCAAACTGCTGACTACAGAAATCGAATACCAGAAAGAAATTTACTTATTTACATGAGACTTCCTTGAACATAAAGCTATTAAGTATGAATTGAAACAACTGGACTAAAACAAAATGTTGAACTTTAAATCTCTGACCTACAACATCAACATTTATTCAATTTAAAAGTTTTTAGGTGATAAGCCCAATGTCTTCTTAATTTAATGTCAGTTCTTAGGCCAACACTAACAAGTTATCTAGGGAAAACATATCAAGCAACACTATGCCATTCCACAATCACCGCAATATTTAAAATGGATACACCTACTTTAAGTTCCATTGGCTATTTTATCTAACATCCTACAAATAGAGATCAGAGTAAGTAGGAATAATCCAAAATATCAGTCAGTAAGCAATCTAATAACGAAGAGAAGATATTAGGCCGAAAATTCACCTGTATAGGATTTAATAGCATGTTTAATCTCCTCCGTAGAGAAGATCCATATTGGGCTCCACTCTTGGTATTAATGAAAACAAGAAGAGGTCTTGTGTCCTGTGGCAAATCTACCAATTTATAACTCCTAACATGACCTATATTATTACCTCCTCCATTTTTACACACCAATCCATTTTTGGCACCTTTAATACTAGGCATTCTACCATTCTTCTTGAAAAAGTGATCACTGCTTTTTCCATTGGATGACTTATCAAAACCAACAAGCCCATTAAGGACACTTCCAAGAGTTGTATTTGCACCAGAAACATCCTGCATTTTACAGCTAGGGGCCTCATAAAAGGCAGAACGAGTGCTTCCATTTTTGTTTCGCTGGCGTCTTCTCCTAATTTGTCCACGGACAGATGAAGCTATAATTTCTTTAGTGATAGAACTCAGCATTCCACTGGTAGTAGTTGCCCCATCCTCTTCTTTGACAGAGAGTGGAGAAAGGATAAGCCTTCTAAGGGGACCCAAGTCACAAATATTACCAGATTCTTTTGCCATTTTGGCATGGCATTTGACATGTATGAGGCATTGACACCACAAGCAATGCCAAGTGGGAGATGCATCAAGAAAAGGAATACCACATGGCTCATCACAGTAGTAGCAAAAAGCAGACAACTCAGAATTCTCATCTAAATTAACCCACTGTTCTGACCAATGGTGCATCAGATGTGATGAGCCGGCTTGTGCCACACACTTGCAATCTTTTACTGCAAACTGGGAACAATAGAAATGGGCTGCTACACCACAAACAGAGCACCTATGAAGAGGAAAATGTGACGCTGCTTTTGCACCTACAGTTTGAGGGGACACCAGTGAAGTTAAACATACACAGCATGTGGAAGGCTGTTCACCATAAGCAAAATCTTCTATCCACGTATGAGGCGATAGGGGAACTTTCAATCTCTTCCAAACTTTTTTCTTTGCTCTAGCAGCAGCTTTAACCCAGTTCAGCGATGTCTTTCTTTGCCACTTAAGGAATGCATATGTAACAGCTAGCAGTCCAAATGATCCAGTTACTAGCCATCCAAAAATAAATGGACCATAACCATCCAAGATGGTAAGGATCCTCGAGAGTAAAAAGAACAAATCTGTCATTATCAACCTAATTTATTCTTCTCCACCTCAGTCTTCTACTACATCCAATTCATTCAACAATGTCCAACGTCAAGAAGACCTCAAGAAGAATACCTGAAACCATGAAACTATTCAAGATATGTAACCAAAAGGACAGAAAACACTAAAAAATAAAAGAATATCAGAAATCAGGAGAAAAAAAAAATGGAAAAGAAAAAGAGAAAAACGCAAGAGAATATATGACCAGTAAGACTTATAAGTCCACTATTATTTTTCGCAAGTATATATGGAGTTAGGAGATAAAGAAGAATGATATTAACATTACAACACCATAGCTTCTACAGGAGACTTTTTTTAGTAGTTAGCTTCTATAGAAGATAAAAGAAGAATGTTGTTGACATCGGAACACCAATAACTTCTAATTGAATCATCTTGCCAATTGATCTTAATCAATAATTAGTCAACTGCCATCAATGAAAAAAAAAATCATTACATATGTCTGGGAATTCCTCAATTTCATTATGTCACACAAAAGGAGTGGAATTCTCAATGAATTTATCAAGTTCTGTTGAAAAAACGATAATAAAAGAACCTTGGGATATTGTGTTCATTTGGGAGCAACTGGATCACACGCACAGCAGTAAGTTGCCTAAAGCGTCTACTGAAGTACGAGCATAGAGAAGAAACTCTCTTTCAGCCCAGTATGACGTGCCAAGGTAAACTATTCTTTTTAATTGATAACAATTAACATTTTCACATAAAAATGACAAGGGAACAACCATTCACAGAGGCAAATAAGAAATGATACTGTGAAAAATGGCACCTAAGTATTCCCCATGCTCAATAGATTTCAAAATAGTTGCAGAAAAAAGCCAATTGCAAGCTAATATTACAGAAAGAAACAATCAAAAACAGAATTGTTTGACTAGACAAAACAGTAGATACAAATATCCTATGCAAAACCATTTAAACGATCTATATACCGAACCAAAAAAAAGGACCTGAACTGCACCCAATCTGGTTAGTTCCGTATGCAACCAATCCAAGAAACCAGAGATCGATACAATCTAAAACCAAACCGAAAGAAGTCAATGAGCAAAATTTGCAAACTGGGAAACGATAATAACCAACCGCAAAATCTTAAAACGAAATCCCAAAGAAGCAATTCGTAACATACAAAAACAGAGGAAACAGAAAAGAAAACAGAGCAAGCAAATCCGAACCCCCGTCCATGCAATTCAAGATTCTATACCCTCAACTCACGTAAAAACAATACAAGATCCAACAAACCAACTCAACCAAGCACAGTAATGCCTCTAGAAGTTTTCAATTACATGAACAAATCGAAAGACTGCAGTTTTCTTTTTCCTTATTGACCTGGAAAAGTTGAGGATGGACTCGAAGACGTTGCAGAGAAACCCTAATTCCACTCTCTAGTTCAGTCTCTGGCTGGGGTTTCTGAGTCTTTAGCATTCGACTTAAGAACTCTTTCTTGCTCTCTCTGCAAAATGCCGGCATCTACTACTTCTTCTTCTTCTTATAGGAAGTCTTCGAATGCTTTTCTTTTCGTCTCCTTCTGGAAATATAAATAATTCGCGGCGGGATCTCTTTTCACAATCGGCACGCCTCACTTTTTGGAAAGAGGCGAAAACCTTTTTCCTACCCCTGTCCAGGGGAAATTACAAATTTCTTCTTTTTCCTTCATAAAATGACCATCATATCCTTTACTTTAAACTCAAACTTTACCATCCAAGCCACCAAATTCGTTGACTAATAAAATCCCTTGACTTCATTCGGAGTACTCACTAATCACAATTCACAAAGACTGTAGAAACTTTTAATCAGGCAGGTCGTGAAATCAAAAGGCAAGCCTTGCTTCACGTGTTAAATATTCATTGGTGCAAAAGAAGATAAGGGTCCCACAGAGTAAATTACTGTTTGATCCGATTAGGAAGGTCACCTAACTGATTGCCGCTGAGTTAAATGCTAGTTGGTAGACACAGTTTTAAAATAGGACTGGAGGTCGGCTGGGCCAACTACTAGTACCATGTCGGCCGGTCCGGATCCGAGTCAATAGTTTTGGGTTTCGACGGGTCCGACTTCCTAGTTTCCTAGTCGAGTAATCAATCGAGTATATATATTCATGAATAATGACCCAACCATGGCAAAAAGTTGGAGCAGAACATTCGGTTTGTTGGGTTTGGGCCCAAATAGGATTCCAATCAAGATATCAAGGATGTGAAGCCCAACAGAAATATATCAATTCGATGGTGATTGCTTTGGCCTTCCGACCTTATTTGTGAATCAGGGATTGTGATTTGTGGGCATCCAATGTCTGAATTGGTTTTAGGGGTGTAAATGGGTACTCGATTGCCCCGACATCCAATCCGGCCCCGATTAAATCCACACATATTGAACAAAGACTCCCCGCTAACATGTTTCAAGGCATAGATACGTACAAAATGCAAGAATTGCGTTTCGTGTGCAAAAAAGCGATGCAAAACCAATACATGTCATATATGATACACAGTTGTTTGGAATCGTGGCCACGTCGGATCTACATATGTGTTTCAACAAATGCTTATGTATCTTATTGTTTTGTTCAATTGATTATTAAAATATCGGGCATGCCTTGAAAATCAGGACCTCACCAATGCATGAAACACCAACAGTTGACTGATGTGTATCTTATATGGTGTTTACCTATCAGCGCATACATGAAAAACAGTGATGAAAATCACCTTACCAAACAGCATAGTGTTGCTCATTGCCTACATGGCCGAAATTTTTTTTTTGTGAAAAATGGGTCTTGAAAGCATGGGCATTTTTCATTGAAAATGGGTCCCAAAATGCGCTCACGCTTCCAAACACCATGTTAGTTTAAAAGGAATACAAATGCAAATATATGCATAGTGTAAAACTTTGCTATTTAATATGTATTTGCATTTGTATTGTATAAATACATACAAAATAAATCAAAATACAAAGTTTTGCATTGTGCATATTTGTATTTGTACTTCTTCCATATGGCGCATAAGTATAAGTATGCAAAAACAAATATGCAGATTGCAAAATATTGTATTTTATATTATTTTGTATGTACTCTTTTCAAATTGAACCTAAGGCTGTGTTTAGAAGTGGTGTAAAACCTGGTTCAATGTAATTTTAAACCCTGGTTCACTTTTGTATACATTTTGATGGAATATAAAATAAGAACGATAATCGATGTAAAAGAGCATTTAAATATATTTTTTTACATCGAGAATCAATATGAAAATTACATCAGAAAAATCAATGTAAAAAAACTCTTGATCTCTTTATCGGTGTAACGCTCCTCTTCTCATTCGAAAAACTACTCTCTCAATGTCGTGTTTCAATCTTCGCCAGAACCCTCCTGTTTCCACCATGGTTTCTGATGAAGGAAGATTTGGCCCGACCTCGCAAATCACGTCACGTGGCAAAAAACAAGTAGCTCGGCACTTACCGAGGGAACAAACACCAAAGGGAAGAGACCAGCGGCCCGAACTCCCTGCAAGGTGCCCGAACTCCCTACTTAGTGCTCGAACTCCCTACGAGGAGCCCGAACTCTCCCTTTGGCTCGAGTCGCACAAAGCAGAGACCCGAACTGGCCCGTCCTATGACAGTTTGGGGCCCCCCTTATCCGAACWCAAGACTTCGCCTCACGCACCGCTCCGGGCACTTCGCTTCCGGAGTATTGAAYTGGACGAACCACATCGTACCTAACACCGAAGGAGTCCGTATCCAGGGGCGGCGCACCTGATTGACTTGGGATCTGATGCCTGACGGCCGCATTTCAAACGGCCACCTGCCACCGTCACCTGTCAACCGCTACCTCCAGTTACAGAGACGGCTCCGACAAAAAGAACAGTGACGGTTCTGCCCCAGCAGAGGCTATGACGCCCGAACTGGCAGAAGCACGGAAATACTCATTCCCGACCTGACGGGAGTCTAGGAGTGAGTGCGCGAGGTGGTTATAAAAGGCTCTCCACCCCCAAAGATGAGGTATGCAAACTTTGCGCTATCTGGTTTTACCTTGCCTTTGAAAGATTTTAACTTAAGCTTCGGAGCCTTTACACCGAGTTCCCCCCGGAGCTTCCTCATCTCCTCCGTTTCAGGTTCTCTGATAATCAGTTCAGAGGCAAGATCGTTGATAGATAAGACCGACCGGATTGCGCATCATCAGTTTCAATCCTTGTATGACCCTCTTTCTGTCTTTCTCTCTCTCTATTTGTTCTCATTGTGCCAGGATCGAGGTTCGGATGCCTTCTTCTCCTTCTCTGTGAGGATGCTATCAAGGCATCTCATCGTCCCATCGATCTCATCACCTATCTACTGCTAATCCCCCACCAGGCACCCAAAAAAAAATCAATTTTAAGATCTTGCAAGTAGAACTTATTCGATCTGTGCTCCGTTATGAAACCTTTCCTTGCAACGGAGCTTTTGCGCTGCAAGTAGAACTTTTATCATAACATATGGATCCATCTTATCTGTAAGAGTCGCTCTATTATGAAAACTCTCCTTTTAACGTTGTATAGCTTCTGACCGTTTCTGTGAAGTATGAATTACAAAATCTGTGTGCCCGCCCGACAACTCTCCTTGCAATGTTGCACACTTGAGCTGAAGTTCCCATCAGAAACTTAACCTTCTGTTCCGACCCGGCGGATTATACCTCTGACAATAATTCGAGAAAAATCTGCTAAACCTCCTCCCTTCCCTTGTCTCCAATGACTCTTAAAATGGCTTCTTCAACACTAGCTACGGGGACAACCCCAACATCTTTTATGAATTTGTTCAATACTGTAGAGGTGATGTCTCCATGGACGCTTGCCAGATATACTTGTATGCCGAAGATTTTACACCGTTTTGCCAAAAGCACAAGAGTGTAAAACATGCATTCAGCCGGTTTGCTTTTTACGCTGATACATTTGAGCGTTTATTATTTTCAATGATGGAATTTTGTATTTACACCGCTTGCAAACGCAGCCTAAATGTTTCGACATTTTGAATCTTGTTCAGGTATAGATTCAAATTCCAGACCTGGATGATGGACATTCGCAGACCCATTCACGGGCCGGGCCATGCCGGATTTGGGCCAAGCTTTTTTTCTTTATTAACAGAATGCCCGAGCCCAGTTTAGGAATTATTATCTATCTATATTATATATTACTAATATAAGGGTATGCAAATAAAGGATAAATATACAAATTGAGATGATACAATTAATTTTATTTTTTATGACTTATGTAGAAATCAAAACAAGCATTACTTTATAATTGTATGGACATATTTTTTATTATATATATATATATATATGAAAAATATCAAATCCGAACCTGCAAGCTTAAAATTATGTCCAAATCCGATAAAAAACTAACCGGTCAAACCAATAGTGGGACTACCCGGCCCATAGCAAATTGAGTTATTCAATTTAAAGAAATTAAACTACATCGAGCTCGGATTCAGGTTTGGACACGTTGAAATTTTAACAAATTCTCAACCTCATTAAACCAATTGTTGCACCCCTAATAAATGACATCATATAAGTATTAATTTTCATATGAGAGGAGCAAGGACATAGAATAGCCATCTTTGTCGATCGTCGTCACCGATTCGACCTGAATTGATTACCCATGCAATGCAATGGTGGTGTGTGTTAAACCATCTCTAAGAAAATATCTGCTGTCGAGAGCATCCTCCTTGTGACACGTTAATTTGTTAAACTTCATGCTACAGTTACGGTGCTGAAATAATTGCTGTATTGACTGAGGTGTCACATGGAGAGAAACCGTTGGAACATGCTGTTTGACATGGACAGCCAAAAAAGGTTTCTCGAAAATTTTAAAATTGGTTAAATTCTTTTCTTTTAGATGTGGGACTCATGTGTACAATGTTCACTGGTAAGTAGTTACATAGTCTATATAGCGGTGCGAGCAGTAGGAATTGAGTGGATTGGGATTTGGGGTTTGGGGCGGATTCGATCGAGCGGAATTGAATATTAGGCTGTGTTTGATTGCAATACAAATAAATTTGCATCGATGTAAAACTATGGCAGTGCAAATGATTTGAATATAAATTCTGATCTATTTTTTTATTTCAAATTTTAGTTTATTTTGTTTGATTGCATTATAAACGAAGTAAAGTAAGGCATGAAGCAGGATAAAGTAAAATTTAAAACAAAATTAAACAAGAATTTACACTTTTTATATTTACACTCCTATGCATTTGTACTAAACACAGCCTTAGGCAATTCAAGCTTGGCTTAGCCAAAAGACATAAGACTGTTTTGGTTGTGGTGCAATTTTATCTGTACTAATACAAATGTATGGGAGTGTACAAATAAAAAAATGCAAATTTAGGTTCAATTTTATTTTTGATTTCATTGTATTATTCTTTAGGTCTTATTCTACTTCATTTGTACTGCAACCAAACAAAGTAAGGTAAGATTTGAAATAAAAATAAATCAAAATTTACATCAAAACATTTACACTATCATAGTTTTACATCAACGTAAATAAATTTGTACTGCAACCAAACACGACCTAAGGTTTGAAT